ACCTAAACCCTGCCAACTTCAACACCCAGGTGGAAGCTGACGGCAGAAAAATTCTGGAATCATCCCTCTCTTTTATTTATTTTTTTTTTTAAATCCCTCTGACATCCATGGCATCCAAGAGGCCCTTCCCTCAACATTGTATTATCATCCACCCCTCCTGGGCACACATCTTTCCTCATCACTACCTTCTCTGTTTCTTTTCCTGCTTCATGAAATACTGTTTTGCTCACTCCTCTCCTTCAGCCCACAAACCCCCACTAACTATATGTAGTCAGTTGTTCTTGCTGAGGGGAAAGAAGCCCAGCAGGGCACAAGGCTGCCCACCTTCCAGTTCTCCCTTTCTCTACTCACCACTAAAGCGGGGAGAGCACGCAAGTGGCACTGCCTCATTTTGCTTTACATTATACAAATTGTTTAAAGGATAAGGAGCTGATAGTAAAAATACAGAATGCAAGAGTTAGCAGCTATTTTCAGTACAGACAGGCTGCGTGAATTCCAAGAAATGCTGTAGTTCTTTTCTCCCCCTTTTCTTCTTTCTGACTGTAAAAATGGATTTACTTGAAGTTCCCAAGATGTTTCCCCATTTCAGACCTTCTACAGAGTTTTGTATTCCAGTTTACTTTTTCTATATTTGCAGAATTTAGAATGCTTACAAAGGGAAATAAAGTTTTGGCAGGATAAACTCACATTTAATTATTAATCTAAAGAAATGTTACTTACCAACTGCATAGAAATATGGTGTTGATACTTCTGATGCAAAATATATTCTTTTCTTTAGTAAATAAAGTAATCCAGTCTTCACCCTCTTAAGGAGGTGAACATCACAAGAACTGTGAGGCATCGGAAAGGCCTTTACTCGATATTTTGGAAGGAGTTTCGGACCCTACACAAGGACAGAACACCAAATCAAACAAAAGAAAAAGGAGATAACGTTTTTGTAATTAACTCATTAATGTAGCAAAATGTATTCTGTGCATTTCAAAGCCAAGTCTGTTGAGAGACCTACAGTCTGAGGTATGATCTGCTGGAAACTTAAAATCCCCCAAACAACCACCAGAACATCCTCATCAAGCTTCCACACTGTCATGCTGAATATGCTCATGAGAAATGCACAACTGTTTCCATTCCTCTCCAGTCAGGCCAACATCAAAGTGTGCCTGATCTCTTTTTGTGCTTCACAACTTCACAAGCCAAACACAGAAACAAAACAGCTGTTGGAAAAGTATTTGGAAATACAAAAAAAAGTACTTTAATAACTTAAGAGTTAAGTTAGTTCTGTCAAACACACAAATATATCAAGTCAATCAATCAGGTAGAAATGCTTCATATTTTCACCAAGAAAAAAAAAACAACCTATTTTGTCCAATTTGAATATTTTTATGGGAAAGACAGTCCTCAACTAATTATAAAAAGGGTCCCAATGAACTTATCACCTCTTGTTAACATCAATTCTGGTTTCACGTGTACTGTACCTCATAAAATGGGCACTCCAGGGTGACAGTCAGAAAAAGCTGGGTTAGCTGGGAGGTAACAACTCCATTCAAACCAGGTGGCTGAGCTGAAACAACAACATTCAGGCTTTCAGGTGTACCTTCAACAAAGTATCTTTACACAAGCCACCATGCAGAAGTTAGGAAAAGCTATTCAGTTTAATGTGCAGAGATCTTTACAATCGATCAATTTACTTGATCACTACAATTCTCAGTAACTGTTTGAATGAACAGAAAGATCAACGTGAAATGACAGAGTTAGAAAAATGAGGGAATTATTTACAGAAATATCAACATAAAAAATATACAACTAGCAAGATCTTAGTTAAAACTGTCATATTCTTTCACCAAAAGAAATGAGGATCTCAGAGATAGCAAATATTCTATAGAGAATAACTTTGAGTGGAGGTCTTGGATAAATATCCCCTTCCAATAACCCCTTCTCCCCAAGTTATAATACCAGAATTTCATTGTTTCACCTTTTTTTTTTTTTTTTTTAATCTGCAAGTAGTGGATAATACCAAATAACTTCTGGAGATTTGTCTGTGTCATAAAAATCAACCCCTTAAGGTATTTCATGTTAACAAAAAATAAAGTAACCAAATTTCTAATCACTTTGAAAATTTGACCTTAGTTTTATTAACAGAGCAATCTTAGCTGAGATCTTAAGAAGTCACTCACCTTTCTGGCATAGCTTACATCTCTCTGTAATGACACTAAAAATGCTTTACTATCTAACACAGAATTTCTTAAAATGTTGTGTTGTTCATAATAGGTTTGTGTCCAAAAGTATTGGAATATGCAATAATTAGAGCCAAGGTCAGGCTATCACATGGGAGATGTTCTAGCAGCCTGTATGAGACAAAGGACAAACATGGGGAAAACCAGGTCACTATTTTCTAGAAAAGCTGAAGGATTAACCGAAATAAATTTTTAAAGGGAATTCAAGTCTCTGTTTAAGATTGTATAGTCAAATTTTCAAACTCATCTAAATGATATAACATTAAAGACAACTGCAACTGTGACAAGGAGGCATCACTCTTTAGCCTCCTTATCACTATTCTCTTGAATCACTTAAAGCCACATCACAGAATATTCTTAGTTGGAAGGGACCTATAAGTATCATCAAGTCATTGCTGATTTGTCAGAGAGTGATAAAAAAACTATGCTTGACAAGAGACAAACCACAGAGTAGAAAAAACGTGGAACATTCCTAGAGAAACATGGCTCCTTACCTTGAAGCTTTTGCAGAAAATAGGGACTAAATATTTTTGGCAGAAAATTTAGTGGATAACGTTGAATAAGGACACACGAGTGTAGCAGGTTCACCAAGGTGTGAGGCTGGAAGTGACTAAGCCGAGTGTGCAGTACAGTTTCAAGCCTCCTAAACAAGGAAGAAGCACTTGGAGGCAGATAGTTAAGAGTCCCAAATGGTATAATATATTCAGCAACCTGGTCAGTGGTAAGTCTGTCAGCACTGGAAATGAAACTTTCTGCCACTGCATCAAAGATGGGCTTTGAAAGGATCGCCTTTTTGCAGCAATACTGCATGACTTTGCAGACTGTTTGAGGATGCATGGTAAGGATGGACTGAGGGACATGCATTTCCAGTGCCTCTGTAAAAATTTGTTCACGATGTCTGAAGTATAGGAAGGCGTCCAGGACATTTACCAGTTCATAATCCGTGAAATATGGAACATGCTTAGCAGAATGTTTACACAGTGCAGTAACTAAGGCAACTGCCTGAGTCTGACAAAGAACCACCAGTGAATTCAGTATTACACTCGCAAAGTTTGGGCTTAGCTGGGAAACTGCAGGTAAAGTGACACTGTTCAGTCTGTTTAGTAAGTTTTGGTATTGTTTCCTTTCCCTGGCAGTCAACTGCAGTATCTTATAAACCATCACTATTTCCCTTGGACTCCACTTCTTAATGTCTTTTTCTTGCATGTGGTTCACAATTTGTTCCAGCATTGCACAACTTGGGCTTTCCAACTCAAGCAAACTCTCTCCAAGAGCACATAGATTTTCAGCAGTCAACTGTGCCTTACCAAGTCTCTCCTCACTCTCTGAAAGCAAGCTCACCATCAACGTGCTCTGCGGATCTATACACAGCGTTACCAAAGCCTGCAATGCGTTCAACAGCCCAGTGTTTGACAGTTTTGAAGATTCGAATTCAAATTGCAAGCATAATGCTCTGAAAACTTCATTCTCTAACACTCCAGGGTTTTTCAGACCACTGTCATCTACCTCAACTTCAGATATCCTCTGCAGGGCTCCTGCGGCCATAGTATCAGACATGACTTCTAGAGAGCTAAGAAAGTCAAAAATCTCTTCTGATGTACAAAGGTTGTTCAACTTCTTGAAAAATAATTGTTCATCCATCCACATGTTATCAGATTTAGTACAGTTCTCAGTATCTCCACAGAGACGCACAGTTTCTTTAACAGAAAGTGACTGCATCCGTAGTTGAATGTGGTTTTTTCTACAAAACATATACTGAGATTTATCTTTGACACATAGCATCCTCATGGCTACAGAGCTACAGCACTGGGGCTTTTGCTGCCCCTTGATGAAGCTCAATCTCTTGCTTAGGGTCATCAAAACAGACCTGCTTGCTGATGTGCTGGATGAATAAAACTGGAAAGTTTTTCGGCTAATCAAAGCCATATTGAATCAAGTAGGTTCTGAAATAATACCTAGAGGAAGAAAAATACATATAAACATACAGTTTGGGAAACAGCACTAGTGTCATTAAAACGCAGCAAAAAAAAAAGAAGACCTCTTTTGGCGGCTGGAGAGGACTGGGACGATCCCTCCGCCACAAACATCAGCGCAAGGCAATGCAAAGAAAAGAAATTGCCGGAAGCGGCGAGACCTGCGCGACAGGCTGCAGCGCATCTCTGCCCCTTGTTTCCCTAAGATCGCTACGGGAGAGGAGCGGGGAACATACACGGACGTTTCCCCGAGCAGAAACTGTGGGGCGGCGCTTTGCCCTCCACCCTGCGGCCCGGGCGCTGGGCGAGTCTGACACGGGAGGGACAGCACCGGCGGGGCTCCTCCATCCCTCTCCGCCTCACAGCCCCAACGTCCCTCCCGCCCCAGCGCCTACTGCTACTGCTGCTGCCACTGCAGCCCAGGAACGGGGCCGCGCTCCATCCGTCCCGGGGGCACGCGGCAGTGGCGGGAGCGCCGCTGGAGCCTCACCTCCGCCGCCATGACGGACAGCGCGGCGCCTGCCGGGATTTTCCGGCGCTCTCCTGGCGGCACCTCCGGGCGCCGGCAGCAGCCCCCGCCCCCTCCCCGCGGGGCTGCGCTCGCCCCGCCCCGGCTCAGCCCACGCCGTCCCCCCCCTCCTCGGCTCTTCTCGGCCGCGTCGCCGCCGCCGCTGCACCTGGCTTGGCGCGGCTCTGCCGGGACGGTCGCGGAGCGCGGGCTGGCGCTTTGCCTCGAGAGTGGGATTTGTGGATCTCGTCCTCCAGCGCAAGTACTCCCGTACCCCGCTGCGGGGCATAGCGGGCGCTGGGCGGGGCAGATGCGCGGGGGGGTTTATATTTGTCTTGGCGGTAGAGTGAAAGTGGTTCTGAGCAAGTCACCAGGTGTTGAGAAAGGGGCTTGGGAATGGCGTTTATGTCTCTGAAGGCACGGTCCCACAACCCGGTTCAAAGCCACACGGGAGAATGTAAAACCACTGCACCAAAGTTTCTTGCTTTTTTATCCGGTCCGTCGCCACTCAGTTCGACATATTTGACAGAGTAGGTACATGACGTGCATGGTCTGGCCTTGCAGAAATTGCCGGGGCCAGCACGTGTCGTGCAGTGGCATTCACGGATGGCTTGTTGTGTGTTGACTTACGAGTCTGATAGACTCCCTGCTAATCTTCTGTGGACTCTTAGCTTTTTTGACTTTTCCAAATACTGGATCAGATGAGCTATAATTTAGAATTTCATCATTAGTTTCATGTTAAACCCTGCTTTGATCCAGCAAATCCCAGGTAGTTTTCTCGGCTTAAAGATTGTTTTTTAAATGTGCAGCTACCAACACAACATGTTAGGTGTTGGTATAGTTGGTATACTACACTGTTGGTGTAGTAATACTGTTAAAGTTAGAAGGATTCTCTCGATTGAGCTAGAAAGCTCGATAGTAAAGAATTACCGTTTTCCCCCCTCTTCATTCCAGTTGAACTTGCATCGTGTAAGTGGAAATGGCATATCATCTTTGAAGAGTGTATAGTGCAGCAAAGCAGGAGAAGTGTGGGCAGCATGTTCATCTAACAGCGTATTGCTGGTTTATGATTGTTCATCTGCAGGTAGGCATGACTAATTTTTCTTTCTTTGAGCAGGCGTCCCTTGATCAGTTTGTGCATGGGGCTCTTTTCAGTTGTTGACAGAAGACATGTTTGAATCATAATCAAAGGAGTTTATTGGTCTATTGATGACATAATTAACTGTTAGGGAGTTAAATTAACTACTCTTTAATCAGTTGATTGAATTACATATTCAAGATCAATAGCAACAATGCAACAGATAGGATACTAGGCACTTACAAAATGTTAATAAATAAATGCCTACAAATATTTATCAGCATTCTGTATCTAATTCCAAGGAATTGTCTAATTGTGGCCTCTCCCATTCCCACAAAGATGCATTCACACTGCTACATACACACACAGTACCCTCTCAGGATGCATATGCATCTCCAGCAATATCTGCTCTTCTGGCCACATGGATTCTCTTGTTTCCACATACCTTCTGAAAGAAGTGCAGTTGCTCCAGTTTTGCTATGCAATCTACTAGTCCACTCACCAGTAAAAAAAACTCTCCCCAAGTTCACATATATGCACCAAAAATGGGTATGGTTACTTTTTGCACCCTTTATTGTTGCTGTGTGTGGAGTGGAATAAGCTTACAATGTCTTATGGAGACCGCGGCTGCTCTGCCTGACCTGGGCAGAGGTCATGGCACTGTTGGAGCAGCATTGGCCACGTCAGACCACATTGTGACTGGTGTTCTTTCTGTTGCCCTCTCCTTTCCCCCTACTAAAATTTTTGTGCTGCTCAAGCATGAATGTCTTCCCAAGCTGAGTCTTGTTTGAAGTCTGTTGATAGCCCCTTGGTTATAATGTTGGCAGCTTACCCCTCAGCTTTTTGTATATAGAAGGCTTCTATGCTACGGTGTGGTCCCAGTGGAAAACTGATTATCTGTGTCCCTTTTTGAGGTATGAGAAAGAATATAGTAATGAAATGCCGCTTCATCTTTATTGGGTTTATCCAATTTTAGTCGGGCGATGCCACCTGCTGACAAGAGAATTAGGTGAAAACACAGCACACGACTTGGGTGAATCTGCATTACAACAGGGATCTGAGGGTATTTAAATTGTATTTACACTATTTTATATGAATCTTCATAGTTATCATGTCAGCACATTTCTTTGTATTTCTTCTGGAAAAGGAGGGTGAAGAATCATTGTGTGTATTGTTTTGTTGTATGCATCTTCTGTGCACATGCACGTGAAGCTGTTTATGTAAACAAATTTATTTAAAATGACTGTTAGGGTAATCATTAATATTTTGAGGTAATACATGTAATCAATTTAAGGTGAAAACTATAACGCAAAATGTAGTAGAAGAAAATACAATGAAAACCTCAAAATTTTCTATTAAATACACTTTTCATGGAATTCACGTGTGTTACAGGCACTGTACTCTTAAGAACTATCACTTAGTTTTGCTACTTCTGATGTATAATTATGCTTTAAAAAAAATTCCCATAGGAGAAAACTTCCACAGTACTGTGGGGGGAAATATTTTACCATATCAATGGAGTACAATATTGTTCTTATACAATTGAGCCATGTTTGTTTTCCCTTGAGAGAAACAGAAAAAAGATGCCACAAATTACATAACCACAGGTTTCCATAAATCAGTGCGTGTGGCTTTCTCTAGCTGAAGCTCTGTGGGGGCAATAGGTGAAGTACAGCAAATGAGACCCAGACACATGAAAAATATCTCAAGTTGGGAACTGAAAATTACTCAGTTGTAATTCTGTGTACCTGAGTTCTACTGCAGCTCCTTAGCAATGACAAAATATTGACAGAAGATTAATTTGTAATGTCCATGTGAAGGACATTCTGTCTTTCTTATTTACTGCTGCTTGAAATTTTTCTTATATCTGTTGTGTTCTCTGTGTCAAAATCATGGAAGAAAACTTCTTGGATTCAAACTTTCATGGGACAGGTGAATGGATAAGGTTATGCATCTCACTCATCCTACTGCTTATGAGAACTTTGTGAAGGAGTGTTATTTTACACTATGGCAGATTATTCTAAGATTGTCTCTGACTTTTAGGGGAAAAAACCCCAAACGGTAAATTCCGTAGTTCACAGAATTGTCTGAGTTGGAAGAGACCCACAAGGATCATGCAGTCCAACTCTTAAGTGAATGGTTCATATGGTGATCGAATCTATGATCTTGCTGTTATTAGCACCACGCTCTAACTAGCTGAGCTAATCTCACGGTCAAGTTCCACTTGTGTAAGAAACTCCTTTTTGAAATGTGAAATAAAAATCAATGGTTTTTCTCCAAAGTACAGACATAGTGTGCATTAAAGTCATTTGGGCAAAAAATACTGATTTCAGAAAAGAAGAAACTAAGAGTTCTATTTTTTTCCTCAGGCTTCGTAGTTTGACTTCACCAGGTGTATGTTATGTTTGGTTTCCAAATACATCTTAGAAAAGTGAACAAAGCAGTCATTGACTTGAAATGGAAAATATAACTTATGTAATAAAGATAATACATATTTTCATAAAAATAGTTTTTGTGTTGTATTGTTTACAAGCTAGATATTGGGGATATTGCAATATTATTGCAACATCAAGGCATTAGAGCACACAGGACCAATACTATAAGTCCTTCAAAACCTGGTCTACAAAACTTAGTTGTGAGAAATGGCTTCTCTTCAGAGTAGATGCCTCATTTGTAAGTTAAACACCAGTACTGCTATCTTTAAAGTATCTCTTTGAATGTCATAAGCAAAGTAAAATTTTGCTGTTCTGCTTACAATAAATTCACTTTTTCTAATTCTTTTTTCCCCTGCAGTGTCTATAGAAAAAAGTAAAAATCCTGTGTTTTGGGAAATGTGCTGTGATTTAAAAAGGAGGTTTTTGCTCCTCTATGCAACACAAAAGGGGCAGGCAAAAGCCATAGCTGAGGAAATATGGCAGCAAGCAGGTACCCATGGACTTGAAGCTGATATGCACTGTATAAGTGAAATGGATAAGGTGAGATACTCCACACTGTTTTGAAAAATAAGTATTTAAGAACTGCATTTTTCTTCATGTGCTTGAGTGGTGGCCCTTTATAATCATGAAGGCTACCTGATGCACCCACCTAAAATATACCACTGAATTTTAAATTTTTTTCCTTGTGAATCAGTAATTTGGACCAATACTCACGGTCGCTTAGTAGCCTTCTGCCAAAGATACATGTTTCTTGTGACTTTTTTAATTAGAACTGTAAATCTTTATCTCTCTTCTAACACTAATTCAGTGATTTCTTGAAAACTATTTATTTATGCAGTAGGGTAAGGTCTTGTGTTGTTAGAAATGATGCACTTTTTTCCCCCTCTTTGTTCTGTTTCTTTTGTTGCGTTGATGTTCTGTGTGCTGTTAACTGTGGGCTCCAGCATGGCCTGGAGCTTTTGTGGGGTCTTCTTGTGTTGCTTAGCATATGTGCTCACTTCAGTTCCCACAGGATTCACTCAAGTTATATTCTAGAAAAAAATAAAAAGCTTGTCTGGAGCAAGGAAGTGGCTTTTTGTTGCTTGCTGTTATCCAAGAGTAAGAATATGAAAACTATTAGTGTCTAACTAAAAGCAACATGGAGTGTAATTTCCTTCACAAAGTACTTTCAACTGTATGTTCTCAAACAAAAGCATATAAAAACCATAAAAAACAATCAAAACTGGTAGCCTGGTATTTCATATGGGATGAGAAGAAAATAACACCTGAAAGATTTTTTTTTTCATGCGCTTGAAAATGTGAGATATTTTGAATGAATGTTCACTAAGTATGTAGCTGAATGTTATAAAGATACTTCTACGCAGCCAGCCTGGAACGTGAAGATTCTCCTTATATCATTCTATTTAATTTCTTTTGCATTTGACAGGTGGTAGACAGGCTATTTCTACTCTTGAATAAATCTATTCTGTCAAATTTGGCAAGACAACTCAGAACTACAAGTTCATGATGAGCTAGAAATATGTACTGAATTGAGAATCTGAGAATTAGGCACTGCGGAAAAAAGTAATTTCTGCAGCTTTGTAGATTTTATCACATAAGCTTCTGCTTTTTCCCTGTTTGTCAGTTAGAAGGTCCGTCTTTATGTAGCTGTTGGGTATTTTCAGATTTTGTCGTCACTTAAAGGGATTGCTGTGATGGTGTATGGATGGAGTAGGTGACTAGAGAGTCAATACTCATAAATGTGATCCTCTTGCCATACAAAAGTGGATGGTCAAATACTGCTCAGATCTCAGAAACACTGACTGTTTCCAAGTAGTGTCTCTCACCTACAGTCTCATGGATGAGAAAAGGTCATAAATCTTTGCTTGGTTATGGTGATTGCTTTTTATGGAAGAAGTGGAAGTGAGGTAGTAGCAGTGAAAAATGTGAGGCTGAATGGAGATCGTCTTGGGTCACAATGTGTGTAGTCAGCCTTGGATGAGTTACCTGAATAAGTGCATTTGTCATGATATGTATTATTCTGGATAAGACAAACCTGGGTGTCTGATTCTGTCATCTTCCTTCAGTAAATTAGTACATTTAGTGAATTCTTATGTCATACCACTAGACTCTTACTTTCTTTACTTGAAGAATTTGCTTTTGTTTATAAATGCAGTAGTCACCTGTGGCAATGCACTGCAGAAGCTGTTGTGTTTGTACTTATCAAATCAGCTGTGGAAGTTTTGAAAATCAGAGCTCTTATTGCAACAGGACCCTTAAGGCCTTTTTTTGTACAACTCGTACTTCAGTTTTGGAAGTCACAGGATTTTGTGGGTACTTGGAGTTCACCTGAACTTGTAAAAGACAGAACCTCTGTTTGGAATGTTCCTGGACCACAACTCATTGAAGTGTGGCAAAGTAATCGGGGAATATCCTTTCATGCTTACTCTGTTCGCTTACACTTCTCTAGGCATCTGCTGTAGGCCGCTGTCAGAGGCGGGACTCTGTTCCAGTAGTAATTTAAGTTGACCATACAACTGCTTTTAGGTTCTTCAGGAAGGATTTGGAAACACTGCCAATAGCTAAACCCTTTTATACTCTGTTTCTCTGTATTCCTAATATTTTGGGTTGTAGGTGTCAGGTAATTTTTAATATGGCTTGACAAGAGGATAAGGTTTGAATGATTTATGAAGTGAAATGTTTAGAACATAACTCCTCAAACTCTGAAGTTTTGAGTTGCAGTCCTGAAACTGCTTTAAGTGAAACACAGCATCTGTTGCAATCTTTATTTTCTCATAACCCTACTATTTTTATTAAACTTGGAATGCTGGAAGAGAATTTAAACTGCAATCTCCAGGGAGCAGTAGAAGGAGCTTAGGTTGCTTATTATGGCAAAAATGAGGCTAAGGAGTGATCTAATAGCAGCCTACATGAGCCAAACTCTTCTTGGCAGCAGAAAACTGTATAACAGGAGGACAAATCCACTGACTGCCGTCTGATAAACTCAGATGTGACACTAGTGGAGAAGTTCTTCTGGATGAAAGAAGAAAAGGGGAATCTCTACCCTTTAGAAGTTTTCAAAATTCAGCCACAGTTGTAGCTGACCAAGTGCAGCGCTGGCAGTTAGTCCCGCTTGAGGTGTGGGGTGGGGTTGGTGACCTCCAGAGGTCACTCCTGAACAAGGTGTCTGTGGAGCTGTGTTTCACCCAGGTCAGTGGCTGGCTGCATGGTTCAAAACCCATAGGCCGTAGGGGTCCTTTGAGAGCAAGTTGTGTGGGTGACCTGACCGACAGCGTCCTAGCACAGTGCCCAGCCCACTATTGGTGGAAAGCTGGAATAATCAAAGAATCTGAATGATTTTTACTTGAGAAGTAATAAATGGTTGCATGAGACCCGAATTTATGGAACTGACACACAGTCCCTAGTACAGGCAGTTCTTGTCAACCTGGTATAGTGGGAGTAGCCCCTATGAAACTGGGAAATATGGAAGATTGCTATTAGCAAAGGGGAGAGAAGTGAATTGGGGGCAGGGTGAAGGGGCCAAAATTAGGCAGACTATAGAGTATGGTGAGTGATTATCACTGTTCAGAGCTACCTTAGTTCTCCCAAAGCAAAGGGTATTTTTGTGGCATGAGATGTAACATTGAAGTTGTCAGACAGAACCAGATGATACTTAATGGGACTTAGAAGTGATCCCCACAGTTCATATGACCACACTCCACTTATCTGTGTGAAATTATGGTGGTTTTTGATCGTATATGCAGAAATACTTTTTCTACTTGACAAATTAAATACTGTAGGGGTTGCATATTTAAGCTGCCTGAGTGCAGTTTTGAGGTATTCTTCATGTGTGTATTAGCCTGCTCAAAATGCTGCTGTTTGACATTTGTGTATGGGATTGTAGGATATTTCAGGTTGGAAGAGACTTCATGAGGTTATCTTGCAGCAGGGTCAGTTGAGATCAGAGCAGGTTCCTCAGGGCTTTACCCAATCTGATCTTGAAAATTCCAAACAAGATTATAAATTGCATCCCCAAAATGACTTGTAATTACTTTAAAGACTTTCTGTGGTTTAATATAGGTAAAATGAAATTAAATGTTTTTCTGCATACCTTTGGGAAGAGGAAGGGTGGAAGATAGATTATCTAAGGCCACAAATAGGTATCAAATGGCGCCTTTTAATTTAACTTGTCCTATTGTTTGTAGTATAACCTGGAAACAGAAAAGGATCCTGTGGTTATTGTTATTTCCACTACTGGTACTGGAGACCCACCAGACACTGCCCGCAAGTTTGTAAAGAAAATTCAAGACTCAACCTTGCCACCTGATCATTTCGCACATCTCCAGTATGGATTGCTAGGTGATTTAGTATTTTCTATATTATTGCAGAACTTGTCTGTCAGTGAGTAATTTTTGTCTTTTTTACTTCTGAATAGGTTGGTTGGGTTTTTTAAGTGCTTATAAAACATTAATTTTTAAAATATAAACACTTTTTTTGTGTAATGTCCTCTATGACCAGTAAAGGAAAAATGTCACAGAAATTATCTGAATGTAAGCTACTAATGTAATTTTTTATTGTTTAATTTTCTTTGCATAAAAAACATATGATGTAAGCTATCTATAACTGTTAAAGTTTTAATTTCATGTCAGATCTCTAGCAACTAGATTAGTTTACTTGACTGTGTGAGTCATTGGGCATTTTTCTATACAGAGGGAAAGGCAGTATAAAATGTTCTTAAAAACAAGGTTTTTAAGATCATCCCATCCCTTTAAATTTGCAGTAATATTTTAATTTTGAATGTCATATTTATCAAGAGAAGGAATGTAACATTATCTTAAACATGAGTAAGCAAAATACAGATTTGGCAAAATGCATGTGATGTATCTTGAGCTGATGATAGGGTCAGTTTGTTGAGTTTTCAGATTGTGTTTATAAACAAACTCCAGAAACATCTGTTTGAACCTAGGTTATTTTTATCTGACAAGTTTTAAGTTGATAGCTGGGAGTGAGGAAATTTCTAGCTGTCTGGAGAGGAAGGTACTCACTAGAAGGAAATTTCTAGTGGATACATAATGTGGAAGTCTGAAATATATGCATCGCAGTCATGTAGTGTTTTGAGATGTTGTGCTATTCCCTAGTTATACATTACAGTTTGTGAAATAGTTAGATTTTTCATAGCTTACTAAACGCATATGTGCATGTATGAAGATAAGCATTGTATTAATATTGACTTCTGTTGTAGCAGAAATTATAGTGTCTATAAGTTATAACAGGATTCAAGTCTAACAAGTTGTCAGTCTTAAAATACATTCATGGTATTCATTTCAGCTGGTCCAATGAAGTGTTTACTTGAGCAAGAGCAGAAACCTTCTTAAAAGAAAAAAAAGGCTGTTATAAGGAGAGAGGAATAGTCCATTATTAGGTGGCATCATGGTTTAACCCCAGCCAGCAACCAAGCCCCCCACAGCTGCTCTCTCACTCCTCCTACCTACTCTGTCTTGGGATGGGGCAGAGAATTGTGGGGGTAAAAGTGATAAAACTCATGGGCTGAGATAAAGACAGTTTAATAGAGAAAGCAAAAGCTGCACACACGAGCAAAGCAAAAGAAAGAATTCATTTACCCTTTTCCATGGATAGACAGGTATTTCAGCCATCTCCAGCAAAGCAGGGCTCCATCACGCATCGCAGTGATTTGGGAAAATAAACGCCATCACTCCTTCTTCTCCCCCCAGCTTTATATGCATGATGCCATATGGTATGGAATGTTCCTTTGGTCAGTTGGGGTCACCTGTCATGGCTGTTTCCAGCTTGTGGACCCCCTGCCTCTTTGCTGGTGGAGTGCAGTGAGAAGCAGAAAAGGCCTTGACTCTGTGTATCAGCAATAGCTAAAACATCTCTGAGTTATCAACACTCTTTCCAGCACAAGTCCAAAACATGGCCTCATACTAGCTATGACGAGGAAACCAGCACAAGTGGGAATAATAAGGATCTAGTGGTTTGGAATTGAACATGAGAAAGAGTCAGGCTGTGAAAAATTCTGACAGTGATAGTGAACCAGAGGTGTGGATTACTTATAGAATGTGTGAAGACCAGTGGTCTTTGGGATTGTTAGACAAGCATCTGTTAAGGATTACTGATCACTTTTAAGGTGGGTCAGTGTTTTAGTTGACCTCTTAAATCTTCCATGGACATACTTCCTGACTGACTGTTCAGCATCTTCTAATAGAACATCTTCACAATAGTTAAAGGGCAGAAAACCCAGTGCAGTTAAAATGAGATCTACAAAGAAATCTTAGATTCCTGAGGAGGAGGTTGTTGGGCCAGATTCTTTCATTCAGATTTTCCTACTTTCTTATCAGTTATATTATTTTTCATTTTTTTTGGTTCCTTACATTTTTCCTGTAAGAGGAGTTTTGTGTTTTTTAAAAACCTCAAACTAAAGCAACATTCTTCTAAAATGTGAAATACTGAAAGCAAAGTGTTTTCAGAATATTTCTCTGTCCTGTATTTGTGATCGAGGAGCCACTTTTTCAGCTCTATTTTGGGACAAACACAATTTTTTTTGAAGTTCATATATACATAAGTATTTTTCCATGCATCTGAATAATACAGTTACATACACAAGTGTTTATGTAATTATGTCATAGAATCATTGGAAGGGACCTTAAAGATCATCTAGTTCCAACTCTCCTGCCATGGACAGGGACACCTTTAACTAGATTGAGTTGCTCAGAGCTCCATGCAACCTGGCCTTGAACGCTTTCAGGGATGGAGCATCTACAGCTTCCCTGGGCAACCTGTTCCAGGGCCTCACCACCCTCACAGTAAAGAATTTCTTCCTAATATCTAATCTAAACCTGTTTGCTTTCAGTTTGAAGCCATTCCCCTTTTCCTGTCACTTCATGCCCTTGTAAATCGTCTCTCTCCATCTTTCCTGTAGGCTCCCTTCAGGTACTGGAAGGCCGCAATTAGGTCATCCCAAAGCCTTCTCTTTTCTAGACTGAACAGTCCCAATTCTCTCAGCCTTTCTTCATAGGAGAGGTACTCCATCCCTCTAATCAACTTGATGATCCTCCTCTGGACTCGCTCCAACATATCAGATTCTTCTATTTGCCTGCAAGAAAATCCTGTATTATCTTTGCAGATCTTTGTCTGTGTAGCCTGGGTGGCTGCCTAATTGACATGATTCCTCTTTCCTTGAATTTCCTAGGTCTGGGAGATTCAGAGTACATGTTCTTTTGTAATGGTGGAAAGACAGTAGACCGACGACTTCAAGAACTTGGTGCCCAGCACTTCTATGACACAGGATTAGCAGATGATTGTGTAGGGTAAGAGCTGAATGAGTTTATGATTTTATTTCTTCAAGATGCAATATTTGCATGTTTTTTTGCTAAGTGTTCTGAACCATTTGAAATCTGTTAAACCTGGATACTTAGCACCTCATAGGAATGAGTTCCACCCGAGCACAGTATGCCTTTTCAATCTCAACTGTTATTAAGTAAAACTATTTTTAAAGTGTGAGCAAACATTTGTAATACCTGGGAAAATAGAGAATATTTAGCAGTTTTAGAAATTATGTAGTTCAGAGTAAGTGGAGGGATTATAAATGTAACCTGTTTTTTCTCTTTTTTTGGGGGGGGGGAAGTGGAGGGAGGATGACTGTAGAGGAATTATGTAACAAGATTTTTTTGTTTGCTGTAGAGGAATTATGTAAGAAAACAACTCCCTCACTGCTCTGCTGCTCTTTCTGGCCAGTAGGCTGCAGTCTTGTCTTAGTTATTTTGAACTGCAGCTTATATTGGTTCTGTGCATGCTGATGCAAGGCAGTTGAACACAACATTTTCATAACCATAAAACTTACATCTTGTGTTCTAAAATAATAAAAATGGACCATTAGTGTAAGCTATTGATGTTGCTGTAGCACAATGAAAAGTTGTATATTCTGGTACCATTCCTTCAACTTCCTGTCATAAAGTTCAGCGTATGAAAATAAAAATGAGAAACTGGAAGAAGAGTGAGGCCGTTATACATTTTAGACTCCATAAATTTACATAGTGATAGCAACTAAATAATTTTTTTAAAACAAAGAAATAATCTTGATAACAGCCACAGTTATATATTAAAATAGAAAGTTAGCAATGTTTTTAGTTTTTGTTGTCTTTTCATTATTTCTAAATTAACAGTCCAGAAAGTCATAATAATTTATCCACGCATTTCTTCTTTTTTTTTTTCCCCTCCATTCCCAGTTTGGAATTAGTGGTTGATCCTTGGATTGATGGACTTTGGCTTGCTCTCAAGGAAGCATTGCTACTGCAGAAAGAAAAAGAAGGCATGAACAATGTTGTCGATGCTGTTACTAGCTCTCTCTCTCTAGCTCCACATGTTGTGCATGAACTGAACTTAAACTCTGAAGTACAGAACTTGAAGCTAGAAGATGAGGGAGCGAAGAGTTCTGATGTTCTGTCACAGAAAGTGGATGACATTAATCTTGTGACTCCAGCTAGAAACACCGAACCTTCACTTGTTAATTCCATCCCTCCTCTCTCCCAGTCTGCTCTTAATATTCCTGCCCTGCCACCAGAATACATAGAGGTGCAGTTTCAAGGCACCCATGGTGAGGTAAGGACTTCACTTTGAGTGGTAAAAGCCTCCAGCTCTCGTAGGAATATGAGTGTATACTCCTACATGCAGCTCAAAAGAGAAGTGAATACTTACATAAAGGAGATAAGTTCCCAGGTACAGGAGCTTTTTGAATTTTAAGTGAAAGGCCCATTTATATTGTGAAAATGTAGTTTCCACCATATGAGTTATGAACACTTATGTCAAGATAAAATTTAGCTAAATAGTAATTTGGCATTGCACTGTCAGAAAGGCAAGAATTCAGATCATCAGTGGCTTATGTTATGCTGGTGAAAACATCTTCCTGTAGTAAGGAGTATAGTACAGTTTCTGTTCAATTTTTAGTACTTTCAGAATGCATTAAGGGACTCTAAATTACTCAAAGTCTTGCTGCATACTTACCAACAGAGAAACTTGGCCTTTGTAAAAACATGATCATAATTTTACTATTGGAAATGGAAGATGAACTATAGATCAAAAACCAGTATACTTTTCCTATGAAGCCATGTTAAACAAAGACCTACTGTACAAAAGGAAGAATTAGCATGAGCTGGGAACTCTCTCCTGTTGTCAAGCGTGACTCAGACTTTTCTGGGTGCCTGCAAAGGGCAGGTGTTTCAGTTATCCGTGCAAGGAATCAGTGAAGTCTGGTTGTTCTTTAAATGACTGGGAATCAGAAGCTGAGTGCGGTAGCACAGCCAGCACCGTCCCGCAATACCCAAGCAATGCAAACCAGGAGGTTGCAGCCAGGATCAGCCAAGAATGCAGATCATTAGGCAAGTTTGTGGGAATGAGGCAGGTCTGGGGCCAACCCAAGAATTTGGTCTGGTCTCAAGATCCAGGCCGAGATCAACAGGATCTGTGTCCGATGATAGACATGGTTTTGACTGAGCCACTGAATCAGCTCTCTTGTAATGTAGCTCAGACAGAGCTGAAGATCCAGGACTAAGCTGAGATGGGGTTCCTGGGCCCAGTCCTCTGATGTGACTGCTCATGATCATGAAAGCCCTTTAGTGTAACACTCTGTGTTGAGTGTTAATGGTAATGCTGAGAGAATCACTTAGTCTAGCTAATAGAATTAGTTTAGAGTGTATGGATTTAAACACTGGATAATTTGGGTTTTTTTTTATAAACCTCATTTTGTGGTTGGTGTTGCTCAGGTTGTTGAATTTAATAATCCCAGTTAAATTTTTGGAGATTTATGATTTAGAGGTATTCGTCAATTAAAGACTAATAGTTGAGTTGAAAGTGGTGCTACAGTGCTTAGAAGAGCCCATTTTCTTAAAGTCCGTATATATTCAGACTGATCTCTGAAATAATTTATCAGGTTCTAATATTGATGCCTAAATTTTCTGTAAGTAGAGAAAAGTAAATTTTACTTTTGAACAGCAGATGGAAAAAACTGAATCTTCTAGTCTGGAATTCAGTGGCAGATTAAAAAGATTATAGTCCAGATTTCATGTATTAGGCTGGTTGGTTGTCTCGAGCCTTGGAAAGAATCAAATACATGTTTGGGTTTTTTTGTTTTGGCACTATTTTTGACACAGTTAGCTGGATCTTGTCAACAACTAGGTTCTGTATAGGGTCATGTTTGGTTTTGCAGGTATGAAACAATGCAAGTCCTTTCTTGTTACATCACATTGGAACAGGCATGGGTATTTTTTGGCAAGTACAGCTGAAGTTGGTGTGTTTTGAAATGCATCAACTTGAATTTTGGATATCTCCAAAGAGAGGCTCCCCGTCATTTAAAGAAGGCTAGGTACACGATCTCTCTAGTTACTTATATGATCTGTGTTTTGGGCTGTTGAGTCTCAGGGTTGAATTAACAAGCTGCTGCTTATTAATGCCAGAGCAGTAACAGGCTTAAGCATTTGTGGCTAGTGTAAGATAAAACAGTTTAGCTTAAATCTTGATTTCATTATGCCTTGAACTTGATTTGGAGGGAATACAAATGTAGACAATTACCACAGTCCAGCTGATGCACAATGACTTGATTATGGCCCAGACCATTAATCACCAAAATTTTAAGAGAATAAAAAAAACTTCCAACTGTTGGTCTTAAGTGATTCTCTTATCTTCTTTTTTTAAATAGGAAATCTTCAGATTAACAAATATTCTCTTGTTGGTAGAATATTTCCTTTACATTTCACAGAATATTGTTATGGACACATGGTATCTTTCCCACCTCTTCTTTTTTTGTCAGCATTGATGTCAAGTGAAACTTGCTGACTATAGTGATGGAGAAATGAGGGCTGCAGTCTGATCTTCAAGTGACAGCCTTTGACAGATGTGATCTGAAATTATTTTTGGTGCACATTTGCAATTCTTGGGGCACATTTTTACCTGTGTAGAAATGTTGTGGTATAACATGATGCTGATTTGTAGTGTGAGGTTTGCTGATTAGCTCTAAATTTAAGTCCTCTTATAAGTTGCCCATAATAATAGCCCCATATTGACCCCAAAGTCTTAGGCTGTGAATCTGCAGTGATGTAGCTTCTGTTTTTACTTTTTATGTCCATTCTACACACCTAGTAATCCTTTAATTAGGCAGGAGTTTTCTGGGGTTTAACATAAATGCCATTCTCTAATTGGCTATTTTCAGGGCAGCTTGTGAAAAATGAAACAACTAGCTGCATTTGATAATAAAGTAGACCCATTAGACTGTTCAAACCTACTGACTTTTTATAATTGAATATATGTATGTTGCTGCTTAGATGCAATTTCTAAAAATGTAGAGCAAAACACTATGAATACAGAAGATTCGTGTTTTTCCTCATCGTTTTGAGTTGTTTTCCAAGATTGTTTAAAAAAAAAACCTGTATCAATGCTAATTCCTGTATGTCATACTAAGCTGTCATTCAGCTGATTTGCATTTTTAGTGTAAGTTTTTGTATCTTCTTTTTCAGAATCCACATCTGTCCTCACTTATCTCGGAGGAAACAACCTTTGAAGTGCCAGTTACAAAAGCAGTTCAGCTCACTAGAGAAGATGCAATAAAAACTGCTTTGCTCTTAGAACTTGATATTTCAGTAAGTTAGTGATGGCTTTTTCTTTAGTGGGTGAAAATAAAGGGTGGAAAGCATGTGTGTTATATATAATAACTGTAGGGAAAATTATTTA